TTTTTTTTAAGAAAAAGAAAACGATAGTGACCCTTACAAACTAGAAACACAAGCCACGTACCAAAGTCCCAAGTGCAACCAAAGTCAATATTAGCATTATTCAGTGATTTTGAAATTTCAGTAGTAACTGTGTACTTCAGTTTTGCCACCTACGTACAACCAAAAAAAGAAAGTATCACTCCACTTTGCTCCACTAAGGGTTGAAATCAATGTTTGTAACTTTGTATAACCATATCGTAACAACGGTTCGACCGTAAAAATACCTTATAGATAGCAGCTTTTTAGCTGTGTGAAATGGTTGAACCGCAATTTTATTACAAAATATTCTACCGCTAGTGCTTCTAGTACCATATTTGGTACTGTTTCACAATCTTTAGATGAAATGCTAATTAATTACCCTTTGGCCGCATCAATTTTATTTACCGCCTATGGTACTTAATTAGCCGCTCCTGATCTTACTGCGGATGCTGGCATGGAGTTAGCCGCTATTTTCATTTTAAGATTAAAACAATATTTGTAAACGTTCAAGTCTATCCTATCCCTCATGGATATTTGACATCTATGTTAGGCAGTTAATTATCATGAACACTTATTTCTCCGGTAAACAAATAGTACTTTATCAACGACTTTTATATACTAAAGAGTACTTTATGAATGAGGGTAGACATTGATGTAACTAATACGATTTTTACTTTAAGAGATTAAAGTATTAGAACTTCTGATGTTAAAATATTACTCTAATTTAGAAGAATAATAACGCTTGACTAAATCTGTAACATATCTATGTTAAAATATTTCAATGTTTGTCATCCAGGTTCATTTATCAAAATTATATCATGTATTTGGTGTGGGCCTATGGGGTAACAAATTAAAGCTTTTATTTTATTTTTAAATAACGATCTATAAGGTCTTGGTGTTTATGCGAAGTTCCATCAAGCAAATCATCTTAAAATTAAAGAGATTATCTTATTCAATATACATTAACTAAAAGTAGCATGAAACCCAATCATGCATCTATTAGAATCAATCACAATGAGAAGGTAAACCTATCATTAGTGTTAATTTGATCTTAATCACAATGAGAAGGTAAACCTATCATTAGTTTTAATTTGATCTTGTATATGATACTCAATCAGAATGAACGAACAAGGACTTGGTTTAGTGGTAAAACCATTTGCTTTAAATTTGGAGGTTCCATGTTCGAATCTCTTAAGTAGTACCTAACAAAAAAAGTAAATTTATATCACCCTGAAAAAAAAGAATAATCAATCAGAATGAGTTGATGAAGAAACTACCATTAGCATTGCATCACTTCACATGTGTGAGTAGAGGTGACAAATAAATTAGATTGACAAAAATAAATTTTAGGTGTCTAGTGATAAACAAATTTAGGAATTAAATAATTTTTCCAAAATCCATGAATTCAGTCCCTGAATTCATCAATCTCATAAAATATGAATTAAATTGATTTGATTAATTAAATATTTTAGAGAATGAATTCATCAATCTCATAAAATATGAATTAAATTGATTTGATTAATTAAATATTTTAGAGAATAGATTGTATTGGATTCAATTCTCACCTTTAGGTGTGAGTGGAAAGGGAATACTAATTACCATTGAAGTACACACTATTTTTTAACATGTTTTTCTTAAAAAAGACAACATTACATGCTTATGATCTTCTATTTCTTTCCATCTTTCTTTCTCAAACTAATTTGGAGTAGGCTTAAAAATCATATTGTTTTATTTTTATTATTACATAAAAATAAAATAAAATTTGCAAATATAAAATGATCAAAATAAATAATGATTTGCAAGATAACTGGTGGCTTACGATTTATAAGAAAATATTATGACTACATGTTTGTATGAATTAATACTAATTCAAGATCTCGATTAGTCTTTTGAAAAAAAAAAAAAGATCTCGATTAGTCGATAATGCTATTCACTTTCATCTAAGTCATATAAGGTGAGTCCTACCAAAGATATTTAATTTTTTACTATTAAAGTATAAAAGGGTCACATAAATATGTTGCTTGAGTTATTTATTTCGCAGACTGGATTGGGGTCTTGTTGTGGTCGAATAAATTTATTCGATTTGAATTTAATAACACTGCATCATAGAAATATAATTACCACAAAAGATTTCTCAGAATTTGCTCTCACTAAAATTTATAATGAAAAAATACTGCACCAATTTCTGCATACTATATGTTATTATGTTTAATTTATTTCACACTAGCTATAATGAGAACAACCTATTTGCAATCAGCCAAATGATTATGATAAATGTAGGATGAATATATTGCCCATTAATATTAAAACTTCACACTCACACCCACACTCATACTCATCCTCTTTAATGCACTAGGCCTGCAAACGAGCCGAGTCGAGTTTTTGCTTAGCTTGAGCTCGGCTCGTTTGTAAATTTTTCAGCTCGAAGTCGAATTTTGATAATCCAGCTCGAGCTCGGCTCGATTAAAAATAATCCAGCTCGAGTTCGGTAGAGGTTGGTAAATGGTCATTAATACAGCTTGTTAAACTGAGTACAAGCTCGGCTCAAGATGAGCTCGATCTGAAATCATTCTTGCTAAAAAAGTGTGTACAAATAAGAATTTAAAAGATTAAAAGAACACTTGAAACTAAAAATAACAACTAACTTACATACACATTCGTATTAACAAGATAATGTTCATGTTCAAAAGAGTAATTAATCCGTCTACAAGCCAGCTCGTGAGCTTAGCTCAACAAGCCACCTAATCAAACTAGCTCACGAGCTTATCAAGCTGAGCATTGTCTAGCTCAAGTTTGACTCGTTTACTAATGAGCCGAGTGTCAAATAAGTATTTTTCTATTCGAACGCCCAATTACTCACGAGTAACTTGGCTCATTTGCCGCCCTAATGGCTACTACCACTTTACTTCAACGTTCTTATCCTCGGTCACTTTACAATTGTACTAAACTTTCGTACCTCTTGTTTTTGTCGTGGAGCTAGCTAGACATCACAAAGGGAAGTCATATTGTGTTGATTAGCTCCTCCATCTCACAATAATGCATCCAAAGCCCTCTCTGGAATATGCCATTAATGTAATGTCTAGACCATCTTTTTGTGTCCAAATTTTGCATACCCTTCTTGCCTTTGGCTTTCCTTATAAGAGAAAACGGGCAAAACCAAAGTGAAAGTAAAAAGGAGGGGAAAAAAGAAGTCAAGAGTCAAAGAGATACACAGATATACGGCATAGATGATGAGGACTACCACTATTATTCCTCTCTAAACTAAAGTATTCCAAATTACCAATTATTAAAAAATTATTAATTATAAAAAAAAAATATATTAAGAGGAAGAAGGGTTTTTTTCTTATGGCTAGAGCTGTCAAAATTGAACCCGACCCGAGTAACCCGCCCGATCAATACGATCTGTAACCCGATTGCAACCCGATTTGACTAAAAGTCAATGGCCCGAAACCCGCCCGGCCCGTAACCCGATTAACCCACAACCCGATTGACCTGTAACCCTATTAACCCGAGCTCGATTGACCCGCAATCTGATTAAGCCCGTAACCCGATTGGCCCGAACCTGATTGAGCCTAACTCTACTAACCCATGACCCGCCCGATTGACCTGAATAATTATTATATTATATAATAAATAGTCTTTCTAAATGATTTTTTTTGTTCTGAACCTAACTAAAACCCATTTTTATTTCATAAAGGAAATGTCAAAACATGAAATTCCCTTGAAATGATATTATATAAATTAAAACATAAATCTCATTTGGACATTAAGTTTCTAACAAAATTAAAAAAATAAATACAAAATTTAAAATCATCACAATGCCAATAGTATATATACATTAAAATTCTCATTAATTTAATTATTCCAAAAAGTTATCAATTAAATATAAATAGAGTGAAGTGATTTATTTAATAATTTGATTATTTTTTATAAGAATGAACCCAATTTTTGGCGCTAAAACATTGAAGTAGGCTTTAAGTATATATAACATATTGTATATATGATATGGAAAGAAATAGTCTAAAAATAAAGATTTCTTTTTTTTAAAAAAAGGTTAATAAAAAGTGCAAATTGCAGTTACGTATATAATCCTTAACCCGAGTGATTCGCAACCCGACTAGCTCAAACCCGTCGAACCCGCAATCCGATTAACCTGTAATTCGATTAAACCTCAGCCCGAACCGGCCCGATTGACACCACTACTTATGGCCACCACCAGAAAATAGATATCGTAATAAGCAAGAAAACGACAAAAAAAATAAGGAAGGAAAGATGGGAAAGAGGTTTCTGGGATGGACACGTGTCGAATGTTTTATCTCAACCAGCATACAATGATGTCAGGAGATCACGCTCCTAAGCAAGCCGCCATCTCCCTATTGGCAGAGAACAAGACAATAGGCATATTTTATACTCATTCCAACAAATATTAAAATAATATAATAGGGGATAGGGCCTAGCACAGCTGGCACCTGGGGATTCACATTGCACCACTTAGAATTAATAATAAGATTATATTATAATTTTATTTAGAATTCTTGTGACCTAATCACCTAGCTAAATATTTCATAAAATAATCACTTAAGATGTAAGGTTCACACATTATATATAAACAATGATAATATTCGTTAATCTTACTTTTGGTAGTAGCAAATCACGCATTTTATAATCCGACACTGTAAAACTTATAGTCCTTCGTTCAAGCCTGTAAAGATGCTAATCTATCTAGTAAACTCAATTTTTTACATATTATTAAATGTAAAAGTGATTTACTTTATTCAAATGAAAGAGGTTCCTTCTCTATTGATTGAGTCCCCACTTTCTTGGCTGCAGGTTTGGCCTAATCTCCAACTTCCCACAACAGGACAAATCCCCACAACCATAAATTGGGAACCCCATGCTCCTATCCCAAAAATTCAGCCTTCTCTCCTCTCTCTCTCTCTCCTCTCTCTCTCTCTCTCTCTCTCTCTCTCTCTCTAACAGTAGACCCTTGTCCATCACCATCTTTTTGGAGCGGGGTTTTTCTTCCCTTCTGCCCCAAAAGTTCCAATCTTTGATAACACAAAGCAGATTAATGGCGATGATGATGCAGCAGCAGCCGCAGCAGAAGAAGAAGAACCCAGAATCATCGTTGCCACCAGGGTTCAGGTTTCACCCAACAGACGAGGAGCTCATCCTTCACTACCTCCAGAAGAAAGTCGCCTCCATTCCCTTCCCCGTTTCCATCATCGCAGATGTCGATATTTACAAGTTCGACCCCTGGGATTTGCCAGGTAATTAAATTTGGTCCCCCCTTTTCTTCCTTCCTTCCATATTGGTCCTCGAAAAGTCTCTTCCCTTTCTATTCTCATATATATATTGCTAGTGTTGACCTATTCCTTATTCAAACAAAGTGTGGCCTTTTTTTTAATTAGCTTATCATCATTCTTTGCTCGATGGGTTTGATTGTGTGAATCCAGGTAAGGCCACGTTTGGGGAGAAAGAGTGGTACTTCTTCAGCCCGAGGGACCGAAAGTACCCCAACGGGGCGAGGCCAAACAGGGCAGCCGCCTCAGGGTATTGGAAGGCAACTGGTACTGACAAAATCATCTCACTCCCTTCCTCCATAATGTCAAGTTCTACTGCTGGCCTTGGAGGGCAAGTGAGTAGCACCAATATTGGTGTCAAGAAGGCTCTTGTGTTCTACAAGGGAAGGCCTCCTAAGGGCGTCAAGACCAATTGGATCATGCACGAATACCGCCTCGCCGATGCACCCTCCTACTCCGTCAAACCTATCGTCAAACCAATCAACAAAGACTCGTCCATGCGGGTATGTTAAACTGATTCGATCACTCCTCATTACCTACCTTTTTTTTATATTGAATACAGACAAAAATATTGCGCGAGACTTTTCTCAGCTCGCGATCAAGTATGTCGATTACGATCTCATTAACATAATCAATACTTTTTACTTTTTTTTTTTTAACGATAAGAGGAAATTAATGGACGCCCATAAATAAATGTCATCGTGTTCCCACTAGCCTAGTATAAACCGTGTTTAGTCATTCAACAACAACAAGCCGCTAATTAGTCAATATGTTACCATTTTTTTGGTGTGTACATGTACTAATGTTAAAAGCAAAAATGAACCTACTATACTGGTTTCATGAATTTATATATCGTTATCTATTACTACATACATACACGCACACACTTGTTCCCGATTGTGAGGTTCCATTCACTGCATCTACACAGAATTTTTTTTGAACAATCAATTGGGTACGTGCAAATACAACCCCCCTTGCCCTCCCTTCCATTCCACAAATGGTAACAAAAACAAAAATCGTACGAACCCAATTGCCCATTTATGGCAAATTCAATCTCCAAGCTGGTTCACAATTGGAAAAAGCTTTAATGTAGTAATTTCCATTGTTGTGGTGCATGCAGCTGGACGACTGGGTGCTGTGCCGAATCTACAAGAAACCTCAGTCCAATCTATCTCATCAATCAGCTACAACAACAACAACTACAGGAGTTCTGTCTAGTAGTGACCATGATCAGGAGGAGGAAGAAGAAGATGAGGAGCAGTTTGTTCAACAGACGCTACTGCCATTGTCGAGCTCGAAAAGTACTGCTACTGCTACTACTAGTGCCCCATTGATGCCACAGAAATCGTCATCCTTCTCCAACTTGCTCGACGCCACGGACTACTCCCTGCTCAGCAGCTTCCTCTCCGACCCACAATTCACCTTCAACGTCCCTCCTCCTCCTGCAAACCCTAACAACGATTCGAACTTCGCGTCGATGGTCAACCACCAGCAACAGCAACAGCAACAGCAACAACCGGGCTTCGGAAGCATGAGTACTAACGGTGGTTACTTGCACCACAACTTACCCCAGCTCCAGCAATCCACCCTGTTGAATGGGGAGATGATGTTGAACAGGCCGAAACGGGAGAGGTCGGATGTTGGGGATGATGATCATGTGTTGATGACGACGAATCCATTGAAGAGATCAATCAACTCATCTCGCAGCAATTTCACTAACAACAACATTAGTAATGGTGGCAATGGCAACAATTGGGGTCAAACTACGTCGTTTCGTGATAACCTGGCTCCTGCTGCTCATCACAATGATCAGTACGGGTTTCTGAACCAGCAGTTGCTTCTCAGCCATCACCTTCAGTTCCAGGGTTAACGTGGACATTTCACAAGTCGCAATAATTTATGGGGGCGGGAAAAAGAGAAAAAAAAAAAGATGATTGCTGCACCCAAAAATAGAAAGGAGGAAAATGCAAAAAAAAAAAAAAAAGGATAAGTTTTAGTGGTTGTAGAAGTAGAAACTAATTCTTGTGAATTTATAAAAAATATCTGATGTTGTGTGTGCTTCTTTCCCTTTCCTTTTCCTTTTCCAGTTTCCTCCCTTTAATTTGGGCTGCAGATTTGATCGGTTTCTTTTTCCTTTAATTTTGTTGGGGAAAAGAAAATGGGGGTTTTCTTAGACACGTCATGCACGGTATCCAGAAGAAGATACCATATTATTTACGAAAATTCCAAAACAACATGGAATCTTGTGTTATATCCGAAAATTTCTGGATTTATTTACCTACACGTTTCAACAGAACATGGATTCACATCCTTTATTCCTTTCAGCTTTGTTCTAGGGATATTCCAAACATGGGAATAACTAGATACAAGCCACAGGAGTTGCAAGGAACTGCCACGGTAATAGATTACGAGATAAACTATCTATTTATTTTTAACTTGCTTTCCTCTATTCGGCTAAGTTTTCGCGACTTTGAAATTGTTTTTGTTGGATGTAATTTGGTGTATGAAATTTGTAATTACATGCAATTGAACAATATATTCTTCTTCTTGGTATGTGTGATGTATTTGAGTACAATTTCAATGCCACACCCACATGTAATCTAAATCGCATCAAAATGACACAAAGTCAATTACTCAGAGTGTGAGACATATTTGGAAGCTCACTTTGCAAAATCCAATCCAACATTTTTTTTTTACTTTCATGACATAATTTTTTTGTGGGTAGAAATGCTTTGAATGAAACAATGATTTTGAAAATACATAACATAATAACATAAAATTTAAATAAATTGCATCGTTTATTAACCAGGTATTCTACCAATGATTTTCAGATTACATTATATCTCATGCTTTATTGTTTTGTCTTTAATTTTGGAACATATGTATTATGATATTGGTTTGGTATACTAATAATACTATGCATATAATTTGAAAATTCATATCTCACTGTGCCATCTCTAATACTTTCGGTTTACCAAAAAAATTGAGATTTCTTACTAATTTATGTCGGCCCGTCATCATTTCTTGCAAATAAAACAATATATATGAATAATATCTGATAATTCTACTGTTAAAATACATAAATATTTCGAATATATAAGATATTTTTTGTGCAACTCGAATCCTAAATCATAACGGAATAATACCAGTTTAGAAGTACACGGGATGAACGCGGACATGGGGTCTTGAATCTGGTACGTCCGCGACTGGCTTGCCGAGGGGAATAAATATCGGCATGTCCTAGGCGAAAAAAGAGAAAAATAAAAAATCCCCCTTTTAACTGTCCAAGCCCAATATTCTTTCTTCTATTGTGGAAGAATTTTGGTGCGGATAAGAAAAAATAAAAGCAGTAAGCAACAAAATAAATAGAAGAATATAAATTTTCTATTTGGTCGTCTCTTCACAAAGTGGCGCGCCGTCCTCTTTAATTTGGGCTGTCGTCCAAGCCCAATTAAATTCCATCTCCAATCATCATCATCCTTCTTCGTCAAAGGCCAAGTGGTCATTTTGGGTTGTGGCTGTTATTTTGGGCTTTTGTTTTTTTTTTTTTTTTAGAAAAGAAGGGATCATACTGCGCCCATGGAGAAATCCGTCTATTTTCCTCACCATAATTAACTAGCACTAAGGTCCGGGCTATTGCCCGGTAGAATTTGATGGTAATATAATTTGTATGTCTCATTTACACTAATGATAGGGTCGGAGCTACACTCAATCTAAGTTGGCCCTTCGGGATTGGTCCCGGCCCCTAGGATCGTAAGGATATTTAGTATAAATTTTATAAGTAGAATTTGTTACTTAAATTTTGTTGTGTAATAATCATGTGGTCTAATTGTAATCAAGCTTGACTTGTGTCATAAAGTATACGGGTTCAATCCACCTTGGCTACATACATTTTGTTTAATTATTTTTTGCCCCATCGGTCTTGAAATCCTAGCTCCGCCCCTGACTAATGATGTGTGTTTTGTTTTATATTTGGTCATAAACTTTCTAGTCAAATACTTAAATTACTTTGAGTATGCTTAGAACGTATTTTTTTTTTGTCATAGATAGGTGTATAAAAATAAAGGTAGGTGTACAATGTAGTATGCTTACAAATATGTAGAAAATGAAATAACTAAATGCGGCGGTCGATAGCTAATCAATCCGCCGATAAAAGAGCCTTTTTAGCCACTAAATGGGCAGCTCTGTCAGTATCCTAAGAAATGCAACAAAGGATACAAGCGGGTATACAGCACGCGCCAAAGCCAGAGGATAGGTCATCCTTGCCGATAGCAAAAACAGAGTATCCATTCCCATTGCCATGTGCATGCAGAACCGCCAACAATTGTGGGCCCGTGCCAACTTTCACTGAGAAGCTTAAATGGATGGATTTGTATGGTCGAGGGAAAACTAGGTGCCCTACATAACAAACAAAAACACAAGCGCCCATATTGTAGGACAACTAAGCTCCATCGAATGGACTTAAACAAGCCATTGAAGCTTAGTCGGATACTCCGAATCCAAAGCTAACAATGTCAAAAGAATAACAATTACTAAATTTTTTTTACCATATAGTTAATGAAAAGTTGCTATATACGAACCGTTAAGGAAAGGAAAAGTAAAAGAGTTTGAAACTATATTAATGGAAATAAATAAATAAAAAATGAAATTAAGGAGGAAAGTATGGAAAGAATAATTGAAAAATATAAATTGGGAGGATAATTATAAAAGGAACTAGAGAAATAATAAGAATAAAGAGGAGAGGGACTACATATCTGAACCGCCGCTAGTGTAGCGTAACCACCACACTTCCCTGGAATTGTAACTGACGGATCTCTTGAGGGTTGCTAACGTTAGAAAAAACGGCCATTTTGCCACTCCGGTGACGAACCTCACGTCCTAGCCCGAAACCCAGCCTCCAATCGCGACGCCGGCCGTGCGCAACTTCATCTCCCGCCGCTCCTCCTCCGCCGGCGAGGGCTTCGCCCAACGCCGCCCTTGGACGGAACTCATAGAGCGCTCCGCAATCGCTCACCCTGGACCGACCTTCTCCGAGCGAGAGAGAAGCTCGACATTAGTGGGCGGGTTGAAAATCTAAAGTGGCTAAGGACCCCCGGACGGTTTCTCTTCCCGTAACCGCTCCGGTCTTCCACGATGGGAATTCTCCCGGAAATCACCGCCGTTGGAAAGGGCTGTCTCCCGGAAATCTAAAGAGGTGTTGTTGTTGAATCCAAAGTCTCGGCGGATGGCAGAGATGGCGCGGAGGTTGGAGCGGTTGAGATGGAGGCGCACGTTTACGGAGGAGAAGAGAAGGAAGAGTGGTTACATTGGAGATTTGGATTTACTGTGACAAAAAATGGAAGTATCTTTGGGGAAGTGGCAAGAAGCAACTTAAAGTAACAGTAGTTTTCAGAGAAGCATTGCACGGCGGGAAGGAAACAGCCGATGACTTGGGAGTTGGGTGTGAAACTTTGGAAGGAACCCTCAGAAGTACAAAGGGAGAGTAGTGGAGGTAGTGGAATTGTGGATCATATACCGTTTACTAACACCCCCCTTCAAACTCAAGCCATTCAGATAGGTTTGGAGTTTGGACAGGCACAGGTCCGGACACCGTGTGCTTAACAGAAACAGATGGGGGTCACCGGGAATCGAACAGAAGACCTCACGGTCACAGAAGGCTCTGATACCATGTCAATAACCAGTTGATCCCAATAACTCGAGTTGTTGGGAGAGGTTCAATTGTGGATCATATACCGTTTACTAACATCTTGGTCCAAGAAGAGTCCAGTAGGCAGTTGGTCATGGCGCCAGTCGACCTTCCATTTGTTATAACTCCCTTTCTTTCCACTATTTTTCTTTTTATGCTTAGAACGTATTGAAAAAATGAGAAAGTCAAAATAACTGACAAAGGATTGCATCTAATTGTAATATGTGTATTTACAAACAAAGTGTTGTGTATATAAACAATCTATATATAATGTGTGAGTTGCTTCCTATGATAGATACATAATCAATCTTTACCATAAAAGAAAATGATTGTACTTTGATGGAGTTCATTGTATTACATATAATATAGAAAAATTGACATTTGTTACATATATTTTTCCCCAACTGAGTGAGGATTTAACCCCATTAATACGGCATCAAGATCTCTCTCTTGTTTTTCAATTCTCTCCCTTCTCTCTAACAACTTTGTTCAGGCTTCCATGGGGGCTACTATTGACGCTCCTCTGGCGACCGACGGCAGCCCTCTGCCCCTCTGACTTTCCATCTCGCTTTCCCTTGCATGTGCCAGAGCCGATTTCTTTAGCCCCACTTCTCCACTTGGAACTCTGAACTCTTTTATCCGTTGTTTTGTTTTTCTTTCCTTTTATTCAGTGTGTGTGTACGATTAGTACTACTACTATCGTATTGTTATCTATAATAACCTCGCCAAGCGAGAATGTGTGTGTTTGTGTTTGATTTTTTCTTCTCCTTGAAACTCCAATCTCCTACCCCGGAAAAATCCAACTTTCACTCACCAAGCCATGCGGTAACATCGTTCTACCCCTATCTTACGCCATTGAGGGCAATGTCGAGCTTAATTGTGGGGGGTAGGTTATTATTATGCTTGTGTGAGTGTGATTGAATGCTTGGAGCTTTGATGTATGCCCAAATTTGAAAATTTTGAGGACTCAAAGCAATGCTTGCATGATCAAAGTGGCCGGTTTGTGGGAGAATCTCGTATTTATTGGCATTGACCTTGAATTGTTGCATGTGATCGAATGTGTCCTATGATGATGATTGAGATGTGCATTAGGATAGTGAAAAGGTTTAGTTCTCATGTGTGCAAAATTGAATGGATTTCTTGACTCGATTACTTGTTGATTACAATTGCCATTCATTGTGTTTTGTGAATTGGAATAGATGGTTGGGTGACCAGGTAACCATGTGAGTTTTGAGCCAATCGTTTTTTTCTTGTGTGCTTAGATCCCTCTTACCATGGCGAGTAACATCGCAGTTGTCATTACTGAGTCTGATGGAGGCATAGGATCAACGCCCAAATGTTGATTGTCCCGAAATGTTCTATCCCCTAGTCAACCACTTTGAGCCTTGTGACTTTGGGGGTCGTTTTCTCGTAGGATCTTTTCGCTCGTAAGCTTATGGTGTTTTATAGAACGACGTGAGTTCTCCTTGTGTCCTATAGTCCATGCTTTAGAGCTCCATTGAGGTTCTACATGGGAGGATTTTGCGCGGTTCTTGCTAGAAAAGAAGAGGTAGTGTCGGAGTGAGTCCTTAATCGAGAGCA